AAATGAACTTAAAAAAATTAACTTACCTGCTATGAAAAAGAAAAAAGACACATAGCAGAGAGATACAGAGAGAGAAGGGAAATCATCAAAGTAAAGTTATAAAAGTGATATCAAGAACAACCATTTCAAGGGATGTTAATGAGAAAATTTACATCTGTCAGAGGGAAGGATGTTGCAGCAACTAAACTACAAGAAACTCACAGCGTCACAGAATGGTTGAAGTGGGAAGGGCCTTCTGGAGATCATCTTGTCCAGCCCTCCTGCTCAAGCAGGGTAACCAAAAGCATGTTGCCCAGGATCCTTTTTTTTTTTGTTTGTTTATTTTTGAATGGAATTTCCTGTGTATTAATTTGTGCCCATTGTCTCCTCTCTGGTCAGTGGATACCAAAGAGAAGAGTCCGGCTCCATCTTCTTTATACCTGCCTGTCAGTTATTTATTGACAAGATCTCTCCTGAGCCTTCTCTTCTCCAGGCTAAACCATCCCAGCCTTCTCAGATTATCCTTGTATATCAGATGCTCTAAACTGTTAATCATCGTGGTAGCTCTGCTGGACTATCTCCAATATTTCCATTTCTCTCTTATAGTGGGGAGCCCACAACTGGAGCCACCGCTCCAGGTGAGGCCTCACCAGGGCTGAGCAGAGGGGAAGGATCACCTCCCTTGAACTGCTGGCAATGCTCTTCCTAAAGCAGGGCATCGACCTTCTTTGTCACAAGGAACGTTGCTAGTCCATGTTCAACCCGTTGCCCACCAGGACCTTCTTTGCAAAGCTGTTCCACAGTTGGTCAGGCCACAGGCTGTACTAGTCAGGGGGTTGTTCCCCCCCAGGTACAGGACTTCGCACTTCTCTTTGTTGAATTTCATGAAGTCCCTCTCTGTCCATCTCTCCATCCTGTCCCGGTCCCTCCAAACGATAGCACAGCCCTCTGGCGTATTAGTCACTCCTCCCCGTTTTGTTTGCCTTAAAATTTCCTCCTTCAAAAGCAGTAGAACAAGGCATTACTTATATATTTAATATATCCAAAATGATGAGACATGAAAAGTACTCTTTATGTATGGCAGTTCCAACACAGGAGTTTACTTCAGCAGGCTTCTTTGCTATCAATGACTTGTAAAAGTAATAAAAATAGTGATCTTCATAATTCTTAAAATGAAATTTTCGTATCAAGAGTTTCTCCTTATTTAAATTCATGGCATCATATACCTTCAGTGATGTTTGCAGGGTTAAACAAAATATAAAAAATAATTACAAAGAAATTTCTGCAAATATTTGATTTAAGTTTCGACTAGTTTATCTTTTGTTCTCCATTCATGAATATTTCAGTTACATTGTTGAGAGGAACAACTATTCTCTATAAGCACATTTCTCAGTATTTGTACTAGGAATTCTTGTTTACTTATTCAGTAAGAGCTCATTCCATAGGGCTCATATTAGCAGCAACAGCTAAGCTATAACTGCCGTGGAAATGTAACTCCAATTAAAAGTCTTTTTCTTTTTTTTTAAGTAGCTCTTCATTTTACAGCTTTGAATTAATTTTTAATTGAAATTACTGTTGTTGGTTTTAGGTAGAAGTTATTTATTTGAAGTTATAGTATGTTGGAGTGTTTTAAACAACTGAAAAATATTCTCTTAATCTTTTTTTTTAAAGAACAGGGAATCCAGCTAGATGGCTTTTCATTTAGACAAGCAAGATATGTAGAGGTCAATATTTACATTCCAGTAAGCAGTAGAAATAATGGCACTGAAATCAGTTGGTATAATCATGAGCTTAAATGCTTTGATGGATGGAAGTTTAACAGTACCTACATGATATGTAACACCACTTGGCTATGAAATGATAGCTAAAGCTTAAAGTGATAAACTAGAAATTTGTATACACTCTGGTTATTTCCATTATATCGGTTGTGTGGATGAAAACTGACCCTTAGTTTTGAAGTATTGGCTTAGTTCTATTAGTTATCTTCAGTCAAACTTAACTGAAAATAATAGCTTTATTCTAAAAGATAGTGTGCATTTGATATAACCATAGTTTCAATGATTATTATAAGAGCAAGAAAAAGTATAATGATCTTTTGTAAAGACCGTGTTTCCAGAAGTCTACAGTCCAAAATAGCAACAAAAACATTAACGATCTTCTTTTCATTTTAAAGTACAGGATAAGTTCTGTTACCATCATTTCCCGTCAACCATTCTATTTTTTCTTCAATAGGGATAAAGAAAGCATGGATGGGAGTGGACATTGTATTAGACAGGGAGCACATATGGCAAAGATATTGTGGAGCACCAGCATATAGGGACTTAGTAAACCCTTAATGAACCAAATCTGCCATCTCCAATTACTTCTCTCTGGGATAAGCTTCTTAACATGAAAAGAAATGGCAACAAATAACTTCAAATGCCTGCCCATGAGATATATTTGTGGATTTGTTTATTACACAATGCAACTAAAAAGTAACTTAAAATTTTAAAACTTGAAAAGCTTCACTGACATAAAACTGGGCTGTATTCTGCCATGGACTGTCAGGAGCTAGTCAGATCTTGTGTATGTGGGTGGATGCAATAAACTGCAGCAATAGGGCTACTTAGATCAATTGCGAGACAGCAGGATGAAGATCCTGTAGTAACCTTCCTTTCCTTGTTGTTACTTAGATGAAGAACGTTCTTATAAATATTGTACAGGAGTAGAGTTTAAAAAATATGAATTCCCTACAAGCAACCTACATGCCCCATAGATGAGTCTGAACGAGTTGTGAAGTTAAATGGAATTTAGCAGCCTTCATTCATTAGGGTTTGTCTGAACCACTCAGTGTATGAGAAAACCTAGCTACTTAGTCACAGGCAAAAATCCTCTCTAAGGGCCTAAAATCATATTACTGCTTGTGTCAAGCATGGGCTCTTTGCTGAATTGACTACAAAAAGCACAAAAGACACCAGCAAAAGAAGATAACCTTGTACCCTGACAAGTCTTGTCAATGTAAGAGCCTCCTAATAAGGAAAATGTGTCCGATAATTGAGAGATTTAAGTTCCTGTCTTTCCTCAGTCTCATTTTCCGATGCCATCCTGTCATGAGGCTGCCCTGACCACCACGCTCCAGAGTAATGAGAGCAGTACCCCATCCAGTTGCTGAAGCTGCGTCACTGCGAAGTTATTAATGAAAAAATAAGAGTTCAGAAAATGAGGAACTAAAGAAGTTCTTTACAGCTCAGTCTTCATATTCCTTGTTAAGGGGATCATTAAGCCCATCGAAGTAATGTGAGGAACAGGGAGGTAATTTGTTTCACAGTGACAACTTATCTAAAATACATAAATAATTCAGAAAGAAAGACTGGAACTGAGTAAAAAGAGAAATACTTATTTACCTAAACCTGGAAGATGTTTCAGTCTTTAAATATCAGTTTCTTGATTTTGTTGTCGAAGGCCTGATCATACATAGAGTTTCAGAGATACAAGGCCCTCATGCATTTTAGCTTTTGAGATGCTCAAGCCTCCCTTGTATTTAACACGATGACTGACTTCACCCCCATTTCTAGGTACCTAATTCTCTCCATTCTCTGCATAGGGAAATCCAGTTGAAGCTGAAGTTTTCAGGAAGTGTTTGGAATATCTATTTTTCTGCATCTATAAAAGTAGTGCTTGAATGTGTGGGGTTACATGGGGCCAAAAATATAAGAAGTGCCTTAGAATAGTAACTAGACAAGAACTGTAACTGCAAAAAACAAAACAAAACAAAAAAAAAAGCTAAGGTTTGCTATAAACAGTGAGGTAACTGTATTTGTTTCAGGTAAAACTAGCAAAATTGGAGAAAAAACATCACATATATCTAAAGCATCTGACAAATATGGATTATTGTGTAAGTATGTAACTAATAGTCCTATTACGCTCACTGTAAAGAATTTGACTTGCCATTGTGACAGATCTGAATATATAAAATGAGAAAAATATTATTTTCTGTTTTATTTTGTACTAGATGTGTGTTAAACTTCATTTCTTTTCTATATCTTCTCTATAAATCTAATTGTCTGCAGAACTTTCTAACACTAGCAATAATCCTGAAGCATTTGTCTTGTCATGTACAAACCAATACTGTGCTCTGATAGTTGTGATAAAATATTGTACCTCTACTCCAAAGACAGAAGGTAGAGTTTCATAAGAGCCACTGATAAAGTTTATTTTTAAAAATGCAGTCTTAAGGCACTAACTGTGCTCTGGTATATTTATGCATGTGCATATATTTGTGTAATTTGTTTGCACTATATCTATCCCATTGAGGTTCCGTGATGTCTCTGTCTGAACTAGCTGAGCAGGAACCATTTCTCCCTATGTGTTTGCATAAGGCTGAACTCACCGTTGACATTCAATAATTATAATGAGCTGTCAGGAGCTGTTTATACAGGAAGGATATGACTGATTTTCCTCCTTTGCATCTTTTTATTGCAGGCAGTTTGGGAGAAAAGGAAATCTGACTGCTTGCTTGGCTTTCCAACTGATTTGCTCTGGGGCACACTGAGAAACAGCTCAAGGCTTCTTAGTATTGCAGGCAAAATTTGGTTTTGAGGAGATGGCAAAGTGATTTCAAGGAGAAAGTGAGGCCTGAAAGCATTTTGGAAGGGACGGCCGAGGCCAGGAACGAGAGATTTGTCAGGGTCTAGAGCTGTTTTTCAGTAGATTATGAATGAGAAATGGAATCTGAAAAAGTTAGCAAAGTTTCCAGGGACGAAAGGTGAAACTGAAAAGCTGGGAATGATTAGCATGGCTTTCACAGAGCATTAGATGACAGGAGAGATCTCTGTCTCTCATCCTCTCTCTTTAGTTTTCTTCATTTCTTTCTATTCTCCAGCACTCTTTTCTCCTTCTCTGGGATACGAGACAAAGCTACAGTTTTCTCATCCCTGGTCCACCTCCTCCTTCTACAAACTATCCCCATCCACATCGCAAAATCCTTCCCCTCACAGTTCTCCCTGTCTCATTTCCCCTCACACACATATCTTATAGCCTACCTCCACTGATTACAGCTGCTTCCTCTGCAGCGGCCCCAGCCCACTCTGCTCCTTCTCTCAGGCCAAGGCCATGTGGAGGGGAAGAAGAACACAGCATGATCCCACCACAGAGGCCGCGCTGGGGAAGGATTTCTGGGGAGAAGAGCTTTCCAGATCTTCTGCAGCTGAGCGTGGGATAGATGGGAGAAATGCTATTGCTGCTATAGATAGGGCTGCAGTAACTGCTCTCAATTCTACCTTACAGTAAAAATAGAGAAAACTGTGGGAAGGAAAGAGAAAGGGATCTGCTGTTCTTACAACACATGTTGCTCAAATAGTTTGTAAATTCTGTGGCACCGGGAAAACGAGCAGTTTGCTCTCCTACGTGACTGTAGCTTTCCTGCTTTTAGAACTGACCTTTATGTGAACACTTTTAGGACATGTAACATTGAGCTTTTCTGTTAGACCTATGTTGCAATACAAGGAAGCGACTAAATCTTGTCTGAATATATTAAACTTCTGCTATTCATGTCCCTTTTTTCAATTTCTGCAATGCTTTGGAGTAGTCATAAGGAAAGACTGAATTCTGCAAGTAGTCACTACCATTTAAATAAGATTGTATAGAAATAAGAGAAAAGAGAATTAGACAATGAAGATATTGCATTGCCTAATCTGGAAAAGAGAATTAAACAATGAAGATATTACATTGCCTAATCTGGAATCCTCCAGTTTTGTCACTTCAATGTTATATTTACTACCAAAGTAAATTACATCTCCTTCTATGTCTCTATTAAATTACAGATAAATTAACTATTTATTAAACTATTAAACTACTTTCTCCCTCCATACTTTTTTTTTTTTTTTTAGTGTTTGTACTGTGTCTGCGCTGAAAAGACAAACAATTTCACTGGTATTATACTTAGCTATTAAAGGGTTCTGACTGATAACAACTCTCTGTCCATACGGAGGTTAAAAAAACAATACTTATAATTAAGGATTCCTAATATTTTTCATCATTATGTCCTTCCCACTAAATACTGAAGGTGTTGGAAGCTTAAGGAAGTAGTTTATTGAAAGGTAATCCATCAAAGAGTATTCCGTACAAAGACACCATCTCTGTGAACTACAAAGCAGTGAAAAGCAAGCAAGTGTTAAAGCAAAGTACCACTGTACTCTTTACTCATTATTAGACTCTTCCTCTGTTATCTGTTCTGGCCACTGTTGGAGGCAGAATAATAGTTTAGATAGACCTTCCTCCTAACCTAGTAAGGTTGTTACTATATTGTGCCTTCATTTGGGGAATTTTTGTTTATGTGTTTACTTGTTTCTGTGGGAGGGAGGGATGGAGCCAACATCTGTTGTGTCTACAGCAAGCATCTGAAATTGTATATCCCTTAGGGTAAAGAAATATACTTTTTCTTTGACACCTAAAAGTGCAATGAATTTTAGCTAAGTAAGAAACTATTTTATTTTTTTTTCTCATTATTGCTTATATCAGTAAATAAGGTTTTGTTTTTATTTGCATAAAATAAAGTAACACACTGACAATCTGAAATGATGAAAAGCTAGGGCATGCTAGATTCAGGATAATTTATGTAAATAGGCTCCACTGTACTCTTAATTATGATAGACTTTAATTATATGATAACATGCAATTTCTTTCTCGTATGCCTTTTTGTCATGTAAAACAGTGACTAGCTGTCCAGTTAGTTGAAAAGGTTCCCTTTTCTAGTATCTGACTACCAAAATATCCACATGTAAAAAGATATTTTGTGATCATTTGCACTGTTGTAAGTTACCTGCTGGCTACATGTCAGAAGCCTTACTCCGTGATCAAGAGATAGGATCCTCCAGGGTGCACTCCCATGATCAAGGGTGATATATATGCTAAAGTGAAGCTAGGAAGACTTGTTTGACTCATTCCACTTAAACATTTGACCAGGACATCTAAGTTGAATGCTGAAATTGCCTTGCTTCCTTTTTTAGTCAGTGACTATAGAGGAGGTAAATATTCTAGCCAAAGTTCCTAGAACTAATTGAGATGTGTCTGAGTTTGTGTTTGCAATTGAGCACATACTGCTAAATTAGTTAATGCAATTCTTTTTCCCATCCCTGACCTAGCTCTATACTAAAAACACAGGATATCATTCCTCATCATTTTTCTCTCTATGGAATCTGCACTGAAATTATTAGTCAAAATAATTCGTAAGGTGCATGAATGTAGATGGTAAAAAATAAGTTTCTGGTATAATGTCTCAGAAACATGAAGATAATTAAATGCAAAAATGACAAATCTAGGATAACAAGAACAACTACTTCTACCTGCAAACAGGTATCATTGCTAGATCAGCCGCTAAAGGTAGAGAAGCCTAACTACCGGTAAAAATAGTATTTCCTCAGAAATTTTGTGGGTTTGTAAATACTTACATGACGTGCATTTGTTAATACAGAGTTTTTGACCGTATCTAACCAGCAATAGTAAGATACTTTATTGTCTGGAGAACAGAAATACTCTGATTTTGTCAGTTAGTCAGAATTAAGCTTCTAATGTTTGCTGAAATACAGTGGAGATGAAAGAGCTGTCAGACACATTCATGCCCCTTAACAGGAAGGACAGATTTTGTTATAGGCATGGCACATTTCCTATCCCCCTTGCACGCTCACCAGCATTTGCAACCGTATTCACAGCATGATGCTACAATAAACAGAGAGAGGGATGATTCATGCTCTCTTCGTGTCCCTGAGATTTTCTCTTGTCAGCTGCTCTCTTTAGCCACAGTAATCTCCTGCTTGACAAGCTGGGTCAGATGGGGTGGTGGCACTGTTCCACTAACTTTAGCTTATCACAGCTGAGGTCCTTTCTAAATGTGCTTCACTAGTTCTTGGTAGCAAACTCAGAGTTTCCATATACAATTTATCTAGATGTAAATCTTTGTAATCTTTTTTAGCTATTAGGTTTTTTTTTTTTTTTTTAATAAATAGAACTGTATGGAATTATGCTGCATGACAACATGCAAAAAATAGATAAACAAAAAAATCAGATATGCAAGCAAAGAGGTGCAGTAGCATGAATTCTCATGGGATTATTGGATTTTAATTGTTAAAAATTAATGCTTAATATGCAAAATATGCTCCATTTGGTTACAGCAATTTCTTCAATGCCTTCACATGTAAAATCCTTGTGTAGTACCTGTGATTTCAAGTTGTAATTAATATAACACAGCCACTAGAATGATAAATGTCATAGGGAAATTGATTTTTTCCCAAATTCACAACTCAACTTGTATATGAATTTCCACAGTGTTTTATCTCTCCATATATGAAGTAGTATATGGACAAAGCCAAAGTATTTTAATACCTAGTATCTGTAGATCTCAATGTGTGAAATCTTTGAGGAATCATCCTAAGACAGCAATATCAGTGGCATTTGAAATACTTAGAGTGTTTGTTGAAGTTCAACTGGGCCTCTCTTTGAAGGAAAAGCCTTTATATAGTTTAAAATTATCTACTTTATATTTTAAATCTGGAAATCATTCCTTTTTCATAGTGATCCTCTTCCTGACAATCTCTTCCCTTCCCTTCCCTTCCCTTCCCTTCCCTTCCCTTCCCTTCCCTTCCCTTCCTCTGCCCTTCCTCTCTTTCTCTCTCTTTCTCTCTCTCTTTCTCTCTCTTTCTCTCTCTCTTTCTCTTTCTCTTTCTCTTTCTCTTTCTCTTTCTCTTTCTCTTTCTCTTTTGTCGGATCAGAATGCATTCATTGAATTTGTGAACAAGTCCTGATTAGTAAAAGCAGCATTTACTGAGTCTGGCTTTTGCAGTTTGCTCAGTGAAAGTATTTTTGTTTTGTGAATATGGAGTGTGGAATTCTAGTTTAATTATCTAGACTCCCTTTGCAGTGGAGAAATAAAGGCATGATTCATCCACTTAAATGAAAAACCCGAAGATACTTTCTGTACTGAGCAAAATGGGAACCTGGAGTGACTAGTACAGATTGAGGTGTTTAAATTGTAGATAATAAAAAGTTAGGCAGTGTGAGTTGCACTCTGAGTACCAGACCCCAAGAACTATCTATATAAATTATTTCCACAGGAAAATATGAGATTCAATCTTTAACAGCACAATCATGCCAGCAAACTGATACTGGAAATCTGTGGGACTTTATTTCACAAACATACTCTTGGAGTTTAATATTGCAATGAGTCTACACTGGTGAAAACTCAGATATCAAGAACTGAAGCTTGGCTATTCTACAACTGGCAGAAAGCTATTTAGAGAAAAGATTCTATGAAAGGGAGACCTAAGATATTAGTAGAATCATTCTGAATGACATATTGGAGGAAAAAAAGAATCCTGCATTCAAAATGATTTCTTTCATTAAAAGAGGTCACTGTAAAGAAACAGTTCACCTGCTGCAGCGGGATCAGCTTTTCTTCATCTTTTTTCTCACTCAGGTATTGTATTTTCAGATATTCTTATTAGGATCCTGATATGGCACTTGAAAGCCTCCCTCCATCCCTCTGTTCTAGGGCTGTTGCTGCTCCCACCAGCTGTGCAGCAAAGAACATAGATTAAAACACAGAGAAAGTGCTCGCAATAGCAAAGAACAGACTGTTCTTCCCTCCAGGAGCAGCTTAGTTGTAAAGATGAATATATTTTTTCTAGAAGAGAAAGAATGGTATTCTATGCCATTCTGTCCTTTCCCTTGAACAGAAGCCAGTAGCTATAGTCTTAAAAGCTTTGTGCAGAAATCATAACCATGTATCACAAGCTCTATACAGCAGTCAGTTAATGAGAATACTTTAGCCTAAGTGGGAGCCTGTGTGTCTGGACTAGGATGAGCTTGACTGCTTCACCATTATTTACATGAATGTCCACATAGCCAATAAATAACACTTTATATGAATAAAACATGCATAAGGCTGGACAGAGTTCTTTTCTCCAAGTCTCTATACTTTTTCTGCATTGCAAGGCAAAATGAAATCTCCCAAAGCAGATGGAATTCCTCACAAGAGACAAGGATGATAGGATGGTATTGAACTAGCACAGACATATAACAGTCTGATCAAGAGAAAGCCATAATATATTCTGTGTGTCCCTGAAAGAAGTTTACATGTAATGAACTCCCTGACTTGCTCAGTTGAGTTTAGTGTAAATTCAGTGTGG